TAAAGAATTTGAATAGCTGAATTACAATCAGGTTCTAAAGAACTGTGTTGTTTGATTTCACTACCCTTATTAGAACCAGCTGGAAGACCAAAAGCATCCATTAACTCTTAAACTTCCTAACCTATAGGGCTTTCCATTCCAAACTGCCCAGGCAATTCAGTAGAAGGTGTGCATGTTAACTGCTAAAATAGGGCACAGAAGATAGAGGGTTATCATTTATATTTTAAAGGATTAGTCTTTTAAATGTATTTTGCTGGGCTTTGAAATTCTGATTGTGGACCTTTGTGTTACTAAATATTCAGTTCAAATCAATGGCTACTTATTGAATAATTGAGGGCCGCCCATTTTATAACATCTTTGGTGCCTGGCATGTGTCCAGAGAAAACACCCAGGGGGTTCTCAAGCACTTTTTTACCTCTTCTCTCTAGTCTACAGGACTCAGTCTCCGCATGGATCCCACTGCTTCCTCTTGTAGGAAACTGTCTACCTACCCAAAGGAATCCTGTGGGGACTAGGGTCCTACTTGATCTTGACAGTATTTATCTTGAGAAACTGGCAATTTGCTCCAAAACTTTCTAAAGGCAGACTGCTGCATTTGTAAAGAGATTTAGACATTATTTTGATTGTGATTCAAATATTATTCAAAAAATTAGTACAGAAATGTAAATCAAAATGAGTTATCACCTCACACATGTCAGAATGGCTATCATCAAACTCTACAAGTAACAAATATTGGTGAGGTTGTAGAGAAAAGAGGGCCCTTGTGCACCGTGGGTAGGAATGTAAATTGGTACACCACTACGGAAAACAATGTGGAAGTTCCCCCAAAATAAAAGTATGATTATTGTATAATCCAGTGATTCCACTCCTGGTTACATACCCAGAAAAAAACATACCAATACTAACAGATACATACACCCCAATGTTTATAGCAGTGCTATTTATAATAGTCAAGATATGAAAACAACCCAAGTGCTCATCAACAGATGAATGGATAAAGATGTGGTAGATCTATACAATGAAATATTACCCAGCTATAAAAAGAATAAAATTCTGCCATTTGCAGCAATGTGGGTGGACCTAGAGAATATTATACTTAGCAAACTATGTCAGAGAAAGACAAAAACTATATGATATCACTTACATGTGGAATCTGAAACAATAATACAAATGAACATATATGCAAAACAGAAACAGACTTACAGATATAAAAAGAAAACTAGTGGTTACCAGTGGGGAGAGGGCAGAGGGGAGAGGCAAATTAGGTGTATGGGATTAAGAGATACAAACCACTATGTATATAATAGATAAACAACAAAGATACATTATATAACATAAGAAATTACAGCAATTATCTTGTAATAACTTTTAATGAAGTATAATCTGTAAAGATACTGAATCACTATGCTGTACACTTGAAGTTAACATAATATTGTAAATCAACTATACTTCAATAAAAAATTATTGCATCATCTAGTTTGGCTATTTGATATTTTCACTAGAATAAGTTTGATTCAGCCATTTTAATTCTTTTTTTAATCCAGTTTTCTACTTTACTGATTTTATTTTTCTTATTCTCTTGTTAATAAAACAAATTTATCCAGACAGTAAAATTATTTATTTATGTAGGGTGAAGAAACTTATGAAAATAGGAAAGAACAACTTTAAAGAACTCACTCATCTTTCTCCATTCTTTTCACCTGGATGCTGGATTATTTATTTCCCAGACTCAGTTCTGCAGCTATCAATCCTGGCAAAAACACTTTTCAAAGACAGAGTTATTGGAAACTCTGAAAAGAAAATGAAAATGTGAGAGCTGCCATCCAGTAGGGTGTAGATTCATAGATCCTTTGGGAAAAATTAGATTTCTCTGATTACTGTGTTAGTTTTGTACTATAGTCCTCAACTTTCCTATCTTTCCAGCTGCAGTAGAATGTGCTTTGTGTTTTTCTGTGTGTACTCGGTGACAAAACTGTAATTCAAGTGAAACTTTAAAATAAATGCCATGTCATAGGCTGAAAAGAAGCACCAGGAACAGAGATGATTACAGAAGCAGGAACAATTTTTTGCAACATGAAGGGCTAGTCTCTTCACACACTAAAATCAAATATTTATGTGCCAGAGCAAATCACTGTCACATTTTCCATCACTGGACACAGTAAATAGAGGAGCTTGATTTCAACACTGGGCAGACTCAAGATACAGGATTCTGCTGCATAAACTTATACCATAGGAGGGAATTTATGCAGCAGATAATAATAACAACAATAATAATAATTTATTAATTATAATAATTTATACTAATAAAACACTTATCATTTTACAGAATCCTAAAACAAAGTATATTTTATTAATGAATATTTGAAGTTTGATAAAAAGTAATAATTTACCAGAATTCATGCCAAATACCACTAGATCCTCATATGTGGGTAATCCATTGAACGGATGATGATAATTCAACAGTTCTCTGATTGAATTTAAATCAAGATATTTAATATTGAATTGAAAATTATACTAAGATATTAACTTGTTTTCCATGGACACCATATACTCAGTTCTTTGTTGATGGAGTATTACAAATAGGCACACATTAAATCCATAGATAACTGAATTTGCTGGACAAAACTGATAATGAGAAAGATTTTGCTAAACTTATGAAATGTCATTCTGCCTGTTACAAAATTATTGCTGTTAAGTCTAAATCTATTCTTCCTTTCTTTTCTCTTTGGTGCTCCACAAATCATGCTCCCTAACCAGTGGATTTTCTGTTTAGATTCTGCAAAATGAAGACCCTAGAGGCATAGAGGAAGCAGGGGAGAAGGGATGTGATCCATCTTTGACAGCCGTTGTCAGTGTCACCACCCTCCAGCCATCTACCTTCAACCCAGCAGCAGCCATCGGTTCTAATCTCTAGCTTCTTTCTTTCCTTCCAGAAGCAATCTCGTTGCTCTTCTCAGGGTTTCCAGGATGAGGAGGGCAGCACACTCTGCTCAGATGTCTAAGGCTCCACAATGTGGGACTCCTGGGCTTCAGAGTTACCAGCACCAGCCACCCAGGCAATGCTCCCTCCTCCTGGATTTGATTTCCTCATGGGTCCAGTTGCAGCTCTGAGCTCCCGTGATGCCAGCATCAGCCTGGTGGCACCCTCTCCCCAGGGTGTGAATGCCAATCCTGCTTGAAGACTTTAGGTTCTGACAACCCCAACCTTTGCCCTTCGTTGCCCTAATCTTAAGGGTGATACCTCCTTCTTGCCCTTATTAATCTTTGTGTTACCCCATTATTTCCTTTTTCAGTCCTTCAATACAATTGAACTAATTCTTATTTTAAATTTCCTCTGTTGAAAAACCTACTCCTGTTCCTGTTTTCCTGACTCAAACTTCATTGATGTGCTGAGTGATTTAGGTAAAACAAAGTTAAGACTATTCTGAACTAATGAAAGTAAAATGACAGGATAGTTTACAAAACTGAATAAACAAAGCTTTTAGGTTATTGGTCTTATTTAGTCCCTAAAATCATTACTATTAAACATATTAATTAATCAAACGCACAATATTATTCTAGTATTTTTTCAATGTTAGTTTTAAACATTAAACAAAAAGTAAATTTTAGTTTCTGCCTCAGTGACTGATTTAAAAATTTGAATTAAGAAGATATGAGCAAAAAAAGTGTTATTCTTTTAGAATTACACAGTGGAAGGCTCTTTTTATCTAATACAGCACAGTTAAATGACAAGGATAATTTAACTGGAAGTATTTTCTGTAAATCACAGATTAAAAAAACTCAAGATAGTGTCTTGCCTCTCCCTGCCTATGTGTAAAACAAACAAAAAAATGTATAGATTAAGAACCTATCTGTTTTCCACAGGGAAAAAGAGAAGGGATAATAGTTCTTGAACACTATCTTACAGAAGGCAATATTCTCTTTGCTACATTATAGCATTTAATACTCATATTACCTTTTGAGGTATGAATCATCAGTTACTTTCTTTCGTTTACTTGGGACATAAGGAAATGGAGTTCTTAGGGAGCTTTAAGTGTCAGTCCCAGATTTGAACTTGCTCTCCTGCCTCCAATCCTGGTGCTTTTTCTACTAACGCGTTTCTAGCCTAGTTGGTACTTAATACAGTCATCACATGAAAGAATCAGTCAAACCTCTAGCAGCCAACATGAGTCCCTTCTCTATTACATAACATTTTCCAAATGCAGTTGGTGCTCACACTGTTTATCCCGGGGCAATTTCCTATCTCCCTCCTCTCCTTCCTCCCTTTTCCCCATCTTGCTTCTCCTCTTCATTCACTTCTCAAATGTTTGTGTTTAAAATCTGTGAAAAGTTCAAAAGTTGTTTTCCTACTGATGCATGGTTATGTTTTTTAAATCATGTAACACATCACTTTTAAATATATATCTGTATGTCTATCAACTTAGAAATACACATGCTTGTATATAAGTACCTGTATATAAGGTTAGTGATCAGTAGGAATTCATAACAACTGTCATAATTTCCTCACCTATGTTAGTTTCCAAAATGGCCAGTCTCATAGTAGATCCCTCTGATTTTTTAATTGGCACACAGTCTAAATTAAAGTATATGATTATCATCAAGAATACTGAATTAAATTCTCATTTGTGTCTGAACAAGCATTCTGTTTAGTAGCAATTGTTGAGAAAAGTTTTAACTCACACCCTTCTCAGAAACAGTCAAATATATTAATGCATAGGTCTTATGTTTCTTTGAACTCATTTTAGTAATTAAATAGAGCCATTGCCTGAATTCTTCAGTTGTCTCACACATTTGTTGTTGTTCTTTAAAACAACAAATTACTTTTTATTATTTGTCGACAAAACACTCAGACTTTAAAAATTCTTGAACTGTGTCTTCAATTTTAAAAATATTGCAATGTTTTTCACCTGATTTAACATCTTAGCTTTCAGAGCTAGCAGGTGTTAAAAATCTCAAAGTGTCAAGAGGAGATTTGATATGCATTAACACTCAGTGTTTACTTCAGATATGAACGACTCCCACAGGACAAAGTGTCAGACAGCTTCTATCCAGGGAGGAGGCTGAATTCAGAGGAACCTGAAGTGAAAATATTGAATTAATAATGCTAGATTTAAAGCTAGGTCTTAAGTGTTCAAAATGACAAATGGCCACTTCCAACAACTTTCTCAGTAAACATGAAATGCTCACCAGAAAGAAGAATAACATTTCAAGTGGTTAAAGAAGGATATTTTTCCCTCAGAGTAATAACTCTATATAAGACTACTGGTTCAAGACCTTTTGTGATGGTGTCATCACCAGGTTAAGGAAGTATTTCTTCCCTTATCTAGAAATACCTTCTTCCCAGAGCCCCACATCCAATTGACACTGACCATACAGTAGATTATGCTCTTAGGATTAGGAGCAGTCCAGACCCATTTATCAACCAACCTTCAAAATGTGCACTCTACTGGAAAGCTTTATGGTGCTTTAGGTAACATAAGCACATGGTTGGAATAGCTAAACTGTGGCCACTCCGGTTAAATTCAATAAATATTATTACCAACTGTAGCTGTCAGAAAATTCTTACAGGACCTAAAATGATAATGTTTACAAAGTTCTGTTTCATTTCAGCAAAGCGATACAATATAGCAACAACATTAAAGAAAGTATATTCATCAGAGCCAAAGACTGTCTTCCAGTAAGGGGACCAGAGAGGTCAAGAGTGGGTTCCTACTATCCTCCCTGCCGAAGGGCTATCTGCTTCCTCTCTTGCATTAGGAGCAATCTATCCATGCACAGAACTCCTCTGAACCAGGGACTGTGAATGGAGTCCAGGTCAAATTTCTTAGACTCTGCTGTTCATGTAGGTATATTTGTGTTATGTAACCATCCCTAATGACATAACTCTCCAGGGAACTCACTGAAGCTAGGTGGAAATCATTGAGCTCACAGGTATTGACAAACAGTACCGACAAGGTTATACAATCCCCTCCAGTCCTCCTCCCCTGAAATTTACCTCAGACTCGTGGTTACAGAGCAATGCTGTTCACCAGGTGTCAGAGACGTGCAGATACATCTCTTACTCTAGTTCAACAATTAAGGCCAATTCCAGGGCTGCTGGAATTTGCCGTTATGGAACAAAGTGTCTATAAAAAAATTTATGAAGTTTAGTGACTCTCATGCTCGCTGTGTATGCTCACTGCTTCAGGGGAGAGGAGCCAACACCTAACCTCTCTGGACCCCTAGTTGGGAGACAGTCTTTGGCTTTGGATGATTTACTAATTTTAATATAGTTACTATATTGTGTCACTTCCCTGAAATAAAACACAAATTTGTGAACATTATCATTTTGGGTCCCCTAAGTTTTCTGTAGCAATTAAACCCTAACTGCCACCATTAATGCCCACTCTTAAATTATACTGTGTAGATAGTTTCTTATTTTGCCTATTCATAGATTCAATCCTCATCATAAATAAAATCAAGCATAACTTCAAAATAAGGCTTTTAGAGCATAACCTCATGCCTTTCTTACCACAACTACTGCCATGTCCACCATCCTTACAAATTATACTGCAACCATTAAAAAGACAGTAACTTGGAGTTCCCAGAACATGCAATGAATTTCCTTGAACCTATACCTAAGCCCAAATTCTTCATTAGTCTGAAGTTTGTTTTCTTCTCCTGTGAAAGCTGCCCGACCATTTCCTTTCCATTCACACCTCAAAGCAGTGACTGCTTTGCCCACAGCCTCCTCCCACAAACCACTTTCTGCCCCTTTCTAGTCACACCCTGGCCTTATGAAATTGGATTAGGAGTGGATTCATGACACCTGTTCAGCTACTAAGCATTTTTGTTCAGGGAATTTTAGAGAGAGAACAACTGGCTAGTCATTTGTCTTTGGGGAACTGAACTGTAAAGTCAGTCTAAATTTTCTGTTGAGGTAGCCATGATTAGCCCTGGCCAAGGAGACTGAGTAAGCAAAGAGCCACCTTACAGAGAGAGAAGTGAGGAATCAAAGTAAAATCATGTGGCCCCAGAGAGGGAATGAGTGAGTGAGAACAGCTGCCCAGTGACTTTTCCAAATTCATAGACCTGCTTATGCTTCCCAGAATTAAGCTATACAGTATTAGCCTGCATACCTAAGTTCCATTTTACATAGGGTAGTCAGAATGGATTATTAAAAAGATATTTTTAGCATAAACACCACAATCTTCTTAAAGGATTCCTATTCATTCTTGAAAACCCAACTCAGGCTTGACTTTTGTTGGGAAGCTTCTTCTGATTTGCACAACTCCTTTCCTCTTGTTTTCTCTATTGTTAATCACCCCCTCCTCAGTATTATCCTGTGCAGATTGTGTCTGCTTATACTTTCATACAAAATCATATAGAACATGGCATTTGATAGCTATTCAACAAGTTGTTGAGTGTGACTTTCCCTTATTCCCAAAATTTTGTCAAAGACCCCAAACTGAGGAATGAACAGTGCAAGCATTCACCTTCTAAAGAGAATCACCAACAATTGAGATCAGACATTTTTTTCAAGAATTCACTTAAAGACAAAACTACTTCTTTTAATTCTATACCATTGAGACAAGGATATATCTGGATAGTTAAATTGGAGCTTCATCCAAGAAAATCACTCACGAAGATGCCCAGAACCAGAAACTGAGTCTATTGCCCTAGTTGGATGGTTGCTGAGCTGCAGGACCTACAGATGTGCCTGGCGTGGTCAACAAAATTGAGTTTTGACATGGATCCTTTTGAGTCAGAAGGGGGATAGAGACATAATGACTGGGGCCAGCTTCTTATTCAGAGATTTCTACTTGTGGAAACCACATGTCACCGGAAGTCCCTGAAGGGACAGTGATGGTGTGTGCCTGAGGGGACCTGGATGAGCCTCTCTCCCCTGCAGGTCCCTGCAGTCCCGGGGCCTGTGTGGTACTGCTCCAACACCTCCTGCACCTCCAGGGAAGGAGCACAGAGGCTGCAAGAGGAAGCTGTAGGGCACTTCAGACAGTCCCCAGTGAGGCACCTGGAGTAGGGCTACAATGTGCAAACCTCTGGTGAGAGATGACACTTCTCCATAAGGAACATGAGGCCAGGAGAAAGTGATAGTGCCCACAAACACCACACAGAGAGCCACGTATCAGCAAAGACGACCACTAACCGATAGAGTCAGAAGCAAGCAAGTGGGCCAGGAGTGTGCTCACACCACATACAGGTAATCAGTGCCTAAATTCACCTCTGCCTACTCCAGAGTCGGGGGTGGGGTGGGAGTGTCTCTGGAGACACCAACTCCCTCTTCTCTCTACAGGTCTTTGGAGCTACAGGTGTGGCCTAATGGTAGGGAAGAGGAAGTTTGAATTGGTTATGCTACTGAAGCTTTAATATCTCTTGGGCTAAATTTAATCATTGAAATGTGTCATAAAGTTACCATTTCTACCCAAATTACTTTAAAGTTCAGAAAGAGAAAGTGAACATAGTACAGTTAAAGGCAATAAAGAACACTGTAAAAGCTTTACTTTTTAACTTAATTTTTTAAATTCTTTTTTTGTTTTGTTGTGGGGGTTTTTTGAGGGGTGGGGTAGGTAATTAGGGTTATTTATTTACTTAATGGATGTACTGCGGATTGAGCCTGGGGTCTTGTAAAAGCTTCACATTTATATCCAACCAAGGTGTGGTTGCTCCATCAAGGGGCTACCTCGGTTGACATGTTTGCCTTGCCCTCTGGAGCCAAGAGTCCTTGAGGCAGAGCTTGGACCATTCAGGTCAGGATTCATAGTTCCTCACCAGAACCCCAAAACTAGAAGAACCAACTATAATAAATGTGGGATGTAACTGAATAAACATTTACACATTATGCCAAGGTTTTGTCTAAGGTATTACTGAACTCAGGTATGTAAATCTGAATATACTTCTTCGCAATCCTTCCATTTTCTAGAGTGGGCTATAACATTTGTGACTGTTGATAAGCCTCTATACTCTGAAATCCTCCAGCCCTAAGTTTCTACAACACGGTTCTTTTCTGATTTTTTTTCCTACCTCTGTATTGCTTCTTAGTCTCCTTTAGAGACTCCCCTTTCTCTGTCTATTTATTACTTCTCTAATATTTGCTTCTCATCCTGATCTTCTTATTTTGGTGAATGGCAATGGACACCAAAGACTAAACTCTCCAGAATAAAAATCTGTAACTTCTCATATGATCATCTCTTTCTTCATCTTTCATGCCCAATTAGTCAGTAAGTCCTTCAAATCTATGCCCATAGTATTTGAGACATCATTGAATCTCTCCCCATTTTTCCACAGTGGAGTCTCCACTTGCACCCTGTTTTACTTTTCTGGATCTCTGAAATAATTTTTGTGGCCCAAGGGCAAGTATCTCCCTCCTTCAGTATGTTCTCCAAAGGGATCAGGCTGATCTTTCTGAATTTCTGTAATTCTCATGCCCTTCTCTCTAATGATGGTCACCAGAGACTGACCACTGTTTATAGTGACTGGCCAATAATCCCCTCTGGACTCTGGCCTCCATGCACCTGTCTAGTGTCATCCATGGTTCCTTTTATGTCCTACTCAGTTCTACTGAATAGTTACACCTTCCTGAATGTGCATGGTTATTTCATATGTTCTTGCCCAGGCCTGAGAAAGCCTCCCCTTAGTTGTCCATCTGAGAAGCAATGGCTCACCTTCCAGAACCCAGCTCAATAGTCCTTTCTCTCATGAAGCCATTCTTATCTCTCTATTCCGTGATGCTTGATCACTTCCTCTTTTATGCCCTAACGGTACCCACTTACAGCATCTTTTTGCAACACTTGTGCCCTTATTTGATTACATTTTTGTTTTTTCAGTTTCTCTGGCTCCAAGCATTACTAGGGCATTACTCAACTAGTACATATTAGTTGGTCAATAATAGTTTGTTGAAAGAGTAAATAAACATGTTAAATAGAAGGTCAAAACCACATGACAATACCCAGTAATCTAAGGATGATACATATAAATACCATGAATAACAAAATTTTAATTTTCAATGAAACTATTCAAAATTTGATAAATCTCCCTAAATGTCTATTCAATGCCAAACATGGTGTTGCATATTAGAA